AGCCTTGTTCTGCAGGACAGCAGTGCTCACTGCCATTTAGTGACTCTGACCCCTCTGACTCATTCAGCCACACGGTTCCAGCAGTCACATCAGCAACCAGCAGAGGTCTCAAATGTTTTATGCAGCCTCCTTCTGGGTGTGTAGAACGATGTCAGAACACCTTGACCCATTGGGAGGCAAAGGGTCTTTCCCCATGGAAAAGACCAGCACTTCTATTACCATATCGTTCATGTGCTGGAGGAGACTGACACTCCAAATTCAGCTGTTAGGTGTATGGCAGTGCTAAAAGAGCATGAGTGAGGAAGCCAGGGTAAGCTGCACTTCACTTTTCCATAACAAAGAGAACCACTGAGGCCTCTATCATCAGTAATAAGCATCAGAACAAAGTCATCAAAACAATGTCACACACATAACTAAGCAGAGCTGGAAACTTCTCTGTTCTGTGATCATTTACTCACTGTAGTAAACGCCTGACTTAGGATATTGTAATGCAAATTAGGAGATATTGAGGAAATGGTAAAACATGCTTGTGTGAGGAGTATGTGAAATACCTGGGGAAAAAAACAGACCAAGGAGAGGATTTCTGCCCTGGCAGTGTGAGCCAGGCAGCACAGGCCAGGGCAAGGACAGCTGGCAGCCCCTCCTGTGCCAAGGCTCTCTGCCTGGGATGCTCTGCCTTCAAAATGTGAGCTGCTTGGATAATGTAAATGTGCAGCTCATGCCACAGGTGCACATTGAGCTACCTGCACTGGAGGTATTGCTCAACCACAGCAACAACTCTTTTGGAAGTCACAGCTCTCTCCAAAGACAGCCCTGGCTTGTTTGTTCTCCCTGCTTATTTACTGGAACTCCCTTATGCTGTACTCTGGTCACCCATGAGGACAAACAGGGATAAGTGGAGTAGAGGAGCAGAGCATCAGTGCAAATCTCTGTGGCATAGAGATGTACAGCAGGGGACGGAATCCAAATATTTGCTCATTTCACCATGTTTATCACACTTGTATCACAATTAAGTTGTTTTTCCACCTCACAGCTATATTTTGTGCTGCTGCTCCCAGAAATCAGTCACTTCTAACTGGTCTCTTGGAGGTCCTGCACTGGGGTGCAGGCAGTGCACTTGGGCTGGAGGTGGGGTGTGCATGTATCCCCCTTCCTGTCAGTGATGCAGCCCTGGGTACTTCCAGCAAACCCTAGCCCATGGGAGGGCCAAGCCTGCTTGCATGGATAGTAGAGAAACTAAAGTGTTTCAGTTCCTGGCAAACAACCTGAAGGTAAAATCCTCCCTATGTGTCACCTATGGTACATCTGGACTGACCATTATCAGTCTTTGTCCTGGTCACACCGTCCTCCAAGCATATTCCCAACTCTGCACCCTAACAGCCTCCATCCCCATCCCACTGAGATCCTACACAGCCATAGGCACCCTGGTCCTTATCAGAGAAGAGCGGCTGGAACCACCCCTCCCAGTACACCTTCAGTGAAGACACAGATGCTCAGCACAGTCTCCCTTGAGCACTGGAGGGGACAGCTGGGGATACCCCAGCAAGTGATTTGTGTGTGTATGTGTGCGCGCACCTGTGTGTCTGTCTTTTGTCTCTCTGGGTGCCTGCCTGACTCACTCCCTCTCCACCTGCCCATTTCTGCCAGCTTCCTTCTGTCTCTTCTTTTCTGCCTCTCCTTGCCAGTGCATCTGTGCGTCTCTCTGAACGGCTGCTTGTCTCTTTGTCTCTCTGGCTCCAAGCATGTGGACGTTTGTGTCTTACTGTGAACGCGCCTGACCCTTTTCGCATGCCTGTGCATCCATCTGTCTCTGTGTGCATGTGTAATCTCGCCCATTGCCTGTGTATGTTTGCATGCTCCTTCTGCGTCCGTGTGTCCGTCCATTCCCCTACATCCCTCCGTCCGTCCGTCTATCCATCCGTCCCGCCCCGTGCCCCGCCCGCGGCCACAGCCCTTCAGCACCGCGGTTCACGGACAGCTCCTGCCACCTCCTGCCGCGACGGCACCGCGCACGGCACCGCGCACGGCACCGCGCCGCACCCCGCACCGCACCCCGCACCGCGCCCCCTCCCCGCCGGGGCGCTCCGCCCCGCGCCCCCTCCGCGCCGCGCCGCGCTCCGCCCCGCCGTACATAAACGCCGGCACCGCCGCCGCTCCCGCTCCGCCGCCATGAGCTACAGCACGGAGCCGGCGGCGCTGGCCGCCTCCTACCGCCACCTCTTCGCGGAAGCCCCGCGGCGCCCCGAGATGCCGGTGGGCCGGTGGGCACGCCAGGGAGCGGAGCCGGAGGTGGTGCGGGAGCGCGGCGCGGAGCCGCGGCGGGCGCGGGGCAGCGAGAAGGAGCAGCTGCAGGGCCTCAACGAGCGCTTCGCCGGGTACATTGAGCGGGTGCGGGTGCTGGAGGAGCGGAACCGGGCGCTGGCGGCGGAGCTGGCGGCGCTGCGGCAGCGCTCGGACGAGCCGCGCCGACTGGGGCAGCTGCTGGGCGGGGAGCTGCGCGCCCTGCGCGCCCGGCTGGAGGAGGCGCACGGGGAGCGGGCGCAGGCGGCGCTGGAGCGGGCGCGCCTGGCCGAGGAGACTCAGCGGCTGCGGGCGCGCTGCGAGGAGGAGGCGCGGAGCCGCGCCGAGGCCGAGCGGGCGCTGCGCTCCCGGCAGCAGGCGGCCGAGGCGGCCTCCCGCGCCAGCGCCGATCTGGAGCGGCGGGCGGCGGCGCTGCAGGAGGAGCTGGCGGCGCTGCGCAGCGCTCATGCCGAGCATCTCGCCGAGCTGGGCGCCGCGCTCCCGGCCGCGGCCCCGCCGCCGGCCCCGCGCCCCGACCTGGCCGCGGCGCTGCGGGAGCTGCGCGCTCAGTACGAGGCGCTGGCGGCCCGCAACCTGCAGGCGGCCGAGGACTGGTACCGCGCCCGCTGCGCCCGCCTGCACGAGCGGGCTGCCCGCAGCCAGGAGGCCGTGCGGGCCAGCCGCCGGGAGGCCGGCGAGTGCCGCCGCCAGCTCCAGGCGCGCCTGGTAGAGATGGAGAGCCTGCGCGGAGCTCACCAGTCCCTGGAGAGGCAGCTGCAGGAGCTGGAGGAGCGGCACAACGCCGAGGCCGCCGGCCTGCAGGTGAGCCGGGCGGCGCCGGGAACCGTCACTGTCCCCTCCCCTGGCACCGGGCAGCGCCGGGCACTGGCGGCACCGAGCATCCTCCTCCCGCGCCATCCGCACCAGTCGGCACCTTCATCCTAGCAGCCGCTCCCTGTAATGTGTAGCACCGGGAATCTCATCCCACGCAAACACCCGGCGCGGTGCCGCACCGCTACCCGCGACTCCGCACTCTCCCTCCCCTGGTCCAGCGCAGCTGTTCCCTGCAGCAGCCCCTCCCGCAGTTCTGTGCAGCGCTGGACACGCCGGCCCCATGCGTTTCCCCCTCCGCGCCTGCATCGCTCAGCACCATTGCCTGCGCTGTCCCGATCGGTGCTTCGCTACACAAAACACCCCCAAGCACGGAGCGGCACTCACCCACCCCTCTTGCCTTGCGCAGCACCCACCCATGCAGGCAGTGTCCCTGCAACGCTGCGCAGCACCAGGCATCCCTGCAGCCTTCCCACCAGCCAGCATTGTGCCTCTCTGCCCTGCACACAGATTCTGCCCCACCACTGCATTGCCTGTCACCTTCATCCTTTATCCAGAGGCAAAAACCCACAGGGCAGATTTTGGGGAAGCAGGCCAGGACACCCCCTCCAACACTCTTCCTGCAGGGGACATCCCTGCACACGGCAGCACTATTTGGGGCATCGATCTGTCCCTGCCCTGTCCCTTAAGGATCAGGTCCAAAATTGCCTACACATCGTTGCGGGTAATTCCTCGAAGCTGTCTGCCCAGGCTTGGCCCTTTGCCCTGTGGCCTGGCTCTTGGCACCTGCACCGCAGAAATTGGAGCTCTGCAAAGGTTAAATCTGGACTTGCAGACAGATCCCAGCATCTTTATGTCTGTGGAAAGACTCATGTAAAGCAGACAGAGTGCTCCATATCTCTCATTCCATTACCACGTTTTCTTGCTACAAGGGAATGTTCATGATTTATAATAAAATGAATCATGAGATTGTTCTATGGCTGTTAAATGAACTGTGATTTCTAAATCAAGCTGTTTCCTTCTAAATACTGAAACAACTGCCTCTAATCATAGCTGGAGGCCCTAAGTGATGCCTTGTCATTTCCAAGGCCAAATTTTGCCAGGCACTCTAGAATTCATGAATTCCAAGCTGCTTGCAAGCTTCCCGAATAGTTGAGGTTGTCTTTAACAATTTTTGTGGAAATAGGCAATATATTATCTATAGTGAAAAAATTATACATAGTAATCATAAATACTCTTGATGACATGTGAAAGAGGGGTCCTGGGAGCAACCTATCAGCTAGGCAAAAAAAATTAAGCAACTGGATTAAACAGCAGCATAATTGAAATTGCTTTAGTGACAGCATGGCAGTGCTTTCCTATATGACACTCAAGATCTGTTTTATGTGTAGCAATACTTAAAAGTCTTTTGAGCAATGTGCATGTGTAGCAGTTAAGTAATTTCCCTGGCTGCAAACAGTGGAAAAGGTTGGAAGTGTGTCTTAGAGAATATTTCTATTGTCTGAACTTTTAAAAGCCTTCTGCTAAAGCAGGGGCATGTCTTTATAATTGTGGGCTGCCCAGTCAAATCTGAACTGACATGCAAGAGCTTTTTGGTAGGGGACAGGTTTGCAGTGGTGTGAGGAGGGTGTTTTTATTCTACCAGCTGGTAGAGCTCGGGTGTGGAAGAGGCGCAGACCAGGAACAAGGACAACCAGTTTTGAAAGAGCTTTTTGTTCATGCAGACAACAGGCAGAGGGAAGAGGGCTGGAGGCACAAAGAGTCACAGCAGCAAGAGTAGAGCTGTCCCAGGCTGGGGATCACCTCAAGTCATTCCTTCCTGTCCTGTCTTGGTGCAGCAGCAATCTGTCTGCAGCGAAGCAGAGGCTTTAATCTGTGCAGCAGCAGCCATGCATGTCCTGGAGGCTTTTCAGTTGATGCCCTAGTGATGCCCTCAGAGGCACAGCTTCTTGCAGATCTTTTGCTGTGGAAAATGGTCAGGGTAGCACAGGTCAAAGCAGAGACCACAAGGACAACTCCTAAATATCCTGCAAGGCTGGCTGTGCCCAGCTAATCTGACTGTGACGTGCTCTATGCTGCATTCAGGATGAGCTGCTACTCTGAGGGGCTCTGCTCGAACGAGGCCCACTGCATCAGGGTCAGCACAGCTCCCTGCTCCTTGGGCAGCTCCACATGCCATGACTGCCTCTGCACTGTCCATGAGGAAGGTTAGAGAGGAGAGGAAGTTGAGGACATAATAGGAATGGGAAGGGGACAAGATGAGGATGATATGGCAGAACAAAGATCGTTTGCTGGGACTGCAAAATGCAATTGCAAAGGCCTGACTCTAGGAGGGGGTGCAGGAGTGTGACCATTGCAGGGATCTGTAGGAAGGGATACATCGTGGCTTAAGTGCAAACTGCTGACTCATTCCTGTTCCAAATCAGGCTTCTCTGGTGGCACAGTGGGGCAGCTGGCAGCAGGAAACCTGATTGGGAAGAGCCCTATGGGAGAAGGTTTCACTGCTTTCAAGCTGCTGCTTAGGTACCTAGATGCATGTGGGAAAAATGCAGACTGCTTGTTTTCTGAGAAAAAAAAAATAGAAGAAAAGATTAGTCTCCTTTGTTAGCAGGAGTTCTGGCCTTAGAGTCCTCCACATCACAGGTAGAACTGGTTATAAGGGACAAAAGGCAGGGCAAGGCTGACAGGAAGGATGCTAGAAGGACACTGTTGTCAAGCTGAGCACCCTGGCTCTTGCAGGGCAGTCCTCTGTCTCTGTAACCTCCCCAGATCCCTGCATTCAGAATCCCCCACTCCTGGGCTCTGAGGCATTTTCCCAGGAAGGTGACAGACTTCCCCACCTGGAGGGGACCCCTGGAAGCAGCACCTCTCCTTCCACCTCCTGGAAGCATGTCCCAACTCTTCTTAAGCCCTGCAGATGCAGACTGCAGCCTTTCTTCTCTGCTGCTGCAGTGCAGGGTGCTTTCACTTGTCTTGTTGAGCCACTGCCTCTACTTTGATGATGTTTAAGCCCAAAAGTTCCCTCTGTAGAAGCCTGCCTTCTCCCCTGCAGGACTGGGGGTCCCACTACCATGCACTGTTTGCCCATCTCACAGATCCTGCTGCAGATGGGAAACTGCATAAATCCATCAATGGCTAAAGCCTCCCCACACTCACACACTCACAAGACATGCCTGGTGCTCTGCCTGCTTCTTCATCCCTGCTAGCATGACATTTCATGGTCCCAAGCTCCTAGTGGGATGTGCCTTCATGGAACAATTGCCCATTACAACTTCCCTATCTCTATAATGGGCAAAGCAGAGTGGGACTGTGGGAGAAGCCCCTGTTCCAAAATACAGGGCTGAGCACCCTTGCCTTCACAGGACACCATTGGACAGCTGGAGGATGACCTGCGAAACACCAAAAATGAGATGGCTCGACACTTGAGGGAGTACCAAGACCTGCTCAACGTCAAGATGGCCCTTGATATCGAGATAGCTGCCTACAGGTAAGGCTGCTCTATTCCTGCTCTACCTGGACTTTTTCCAAACCCAATCCCCTGACCCCACTAGGCTGGGGTATTTTCAAGGGCCCAAAAAATACTTGGGTACACACTCAAGGAGCACCACAAGCATGTTGTTCATCTCCCTTGCCTGGATCTGCCATACTCCTGCCTGGGGAGCAGGCATGGCTCCACGTCCTGCCTTGATCTAGCAGCTGTGAAACACATCCCTCAGCCATCCCAGAAGCAGTGTTTTTTAATGGGGACAGTTGGGGTTGGAAACTCGTCTCCCTTGCAAAGTTAAAAGTAGATGCAAAAGACTGTGCTTTGGGTATTTTCCTCATGTTTCTGGAGAGGAAAGAAGGGAAAAAGTTATTGTCATGTACCCCATATAGCAAGTCCTCCAGAAATGGTTGACCAAAATACGATTTTGAATCAGTTTCATGGTGCAGTGTAACCTGTGGTGATGACTTGGACCTGCCTGCAGGGCACAACTTGCTCTCAAGTTTTGCAGATGTTTCACATCCCCATACTAACCTCTTCCCTTGTGATGTGCTTGCAGGAAGCTGCTGGAGGGAGAGGAGACCCTCTTCAACATGGGAAGCGGTGGCCTTCCATCACTCAATTCCCTCCCCAGCCCTACTTACTCCTTCCAGCCAAGGAGCTTTAGTTCCTCTACTCTGTCCTTCAAAGAGGAGGAGCAAGGAGAGGTTATTAAAGTGACCTCTAAAATATCATCCAGCAGGGCTGAGGTGATTGAAGGAACCATAACCTCTGTCAAGAAAAGAGGGAGGTTAAACCTGCATGGAGGAATCCTTGCAAATGCAAAGATGTAACCATCAGGACCCTGTTCACAAGCATTTGAGGGGGAACAGTCTCCACTCGGCCTTGAAATTGCTCCTCTGGGTACAAAGCTGCACTGGGCTTGCAGGAAGCCTCCCTTAAAAACACATAACCTCCCCTGGGGACACCAACCCAGGGATGGCTTCCTTGCGGGTCCTGCCACACAGAGGCCGAGCTTGGCACATTGCTCCCTTTTAAATGGGGTGGAGGCACACAGGACAGGTAGCTAGAGATGCATGTTGGTCATTGTGGTGGTGGCACACGGATGCGCAGCACGCTCCCTCTCCTCCTGCTGCGGGCTGGCGAGGGGCAGCCAGCTGGGAATTCTGCTGAGCCAGCTCTCTGGGGAGGGGAGGGAAACAACTCAACATGTTTACTGTAACTAGTTTCAAGGCTACATACCTTCATCTACTATCCAAATCCATGTACAGCTAAACTTTTCCCCACTCCTCGAATTGTAGCCGTCCACTTTTAACCCTAGAAGCACAGAAATAGCCATAACTGGACTGTAACCACACCTGACATCTGATCTCAGCCACGTATAGTTTTGAACTATAAGGAATGTTAATTTTTCTTTGTACTGACCAGTCTTGATTTCTGACAGCACTAGTCAAGCCAGGCACATGGGGTTTATAAGCAGCAGGCACAGGGCAGGAACTGCTACATTTGAGGTGAAGGCACCACCATGCTGGGGTGCAGTACCTCATGCGGTATCACTGTCTCCCAAATATGAGGGTCTGAGGGCCCCTTGTTTGGCTGCACAGTCTTCATGTGAAAAACCTGTGCCCAGATTAGCATTGTGCCCCAGTCAGCACTGGGAAGCTGAAGGACTCCTGAACACCAGCCTGCAAAGCATCCTTGTCTCTGCTCTAACTGTTCCAATCTGTGCCAAATTTGATATAGGATTTAACAACTATAGGTTTCCTTCAATGCCTTAAATTGCCAGCAATCGCTTTTGCAAGAGCAGGAGACTCCGTGTGTTGTGTGTCAGTGCCCTGGCAGGGTTATCATCATCAGACCTCGCTGCCCTTGCGGTGCTGCCAGAGTAGTTCCTGGAACCAGCAAATTGTTTGCTCGCACTCTTTCCTCTTCTATTGTAAGGCACAAGTTAATAATTAAAAAAAGAAATAGTTGTGTGGATCAAACCGAGCTGTTTTGTTGTCTTTGCTGCTGCATCATCTTGGGAACACACCCCAGTGTCCGGCCCACAGCTGGTTCAGTGCCCAGCAGTCCCTCTGGGCCCCTGCAAAGAGCTCAGTGTTGGGAGGCAGCTGCCAACCCCTCCTGCTGGAGTTGCAAGGTAAGGCTGGACCCACTGATGGCAGTGGGGCACGTCTGGGGCTCACCCCCGGTACCTGTCATGGTGGCCCTGCTGTGTAGAAGAGTCCATGGCCAGCTGGCTGAGGGAGCAAGGTCTGCCATGGCCAAGTGCACTCTCATTTGCTCAGAAAATGGACTCTGAGGGTGTGATTTGCATCACACCCCTGACAGTTCAGTCCCAAGGTACCCGTCATTTCTGCTCCACGCTGCCTGTGTGCTCAGGGGTTAGAAACAACCTCGTGCTTTGCCTGTACACCTGAAAATAAAGTGACTTACAGAAGAGCAGATGAAGAGAGGAGAGTGCACCCATCTCCCAATTAAACTCAGCAGTCACAAGTGCTGTGACTTGCAGTGGCTTATATTTGGAAGATGCACACGTTCTGTTTGACATGTGCCTGTAGAGGGAAAAAGCACAGTCAGCTTCCTACTGGTGGCCCTGCCAGAGCACACTGTCCTGTTGCCTTTCCATTCCTGCTTTGTTGCACCACATCATGGCAATCTGCCTCAGAGCCCCAGGGACACAGTGTGACAGTCACAGGCTTCTCCACCAGAGCTGCAGGCCAGCAGCAGCATAGCTACACCTTGATCCTGTCACACTGGTGACCTCGGGGACCATGCCCTGGACAGGCTGCTCACCATAGGGTGAGAGCCCTGGGGAGGGCAGCCCTGCAGGTGGGTGAAACAAGGGGCACTTTCCAGATGCAGGGGAGGGGGCCCAGGGCATGGCTGGAGCAGTGCAGCTCACCAGCAGCCCCCAGCAAAACAGCACAGAGCAACTTGGGGTGCCCAGGCAATGCCTGGGGGAGTCAGCACGTGCAGAGTTAAGTCCAAGGTATTGGCACATAAAACAAGATCAAGAAATGTCCAAATATCTCCTTGGTCTGCTGTCAGTTAGGAAATGCTAACACACAGAATGTCTCCCAGTCCATTGGGGGAATAAAAAGCAGATGTGACTGTGCAGCTAATGAAATATATTCTGAATCTCACTCTCCAGTGCTGCTGCTTTCTGCCCCTTGAGCATAAGCAGCCTGACTTGTCCTTTGTTCCCAGCACAATCCTCAGACAGAATTCCTGCTTGCTCAGCTAACTGGATGCTAATTACAAAACTGGGAATTTATTTTGGTGATATCAATGTGAAGGGGCTACAGTGGTGGAACAGGACGGAGGAGCTGCAGGAAGGGCAAGAAACTACTTTGGAAAATGGCTGCAGTGTGAGGGCCAGCCCAATTTCCTGCATTTCTGGAGCTCTGCAGCAATTTGGTGCAGTCTCATGATGTTAAACTCCAGAGGTGACAGAGGGGCAACAGGCAGGGAGGCCC